CAAAATATTAGTTTGCAGGAATCTCCAGTCCCAGCTGCTCACTGGAGAGGCTGAGAAAAACTCAACACAATACAAGAAAATATTTTTAAAAATAAAATATTTTTTATTTTACTTTTTTTACTTACTGAATCAATTTTACTTTTGATTCACCTCTATTTGGTTCATTCACTCCTCCAGCCTTTAAATCAGCCAAGCTTTGGATCTGATCAGGTTTCCTACAGAAGGAAATACAGAAGCCATCTCAATACTGCCACCTTCTGGTGACGTTAAAAACATTTAATCTTAATCAGTGGTCTTCAGCTCCCCACTAGGGAACGTCCATTTTTTCCACGCCCCTCCCACCTGAATTGTAATATAATTTAGAATTTGATCATATTTACTCAACTGTTAGTGCATATAAAACAGACATTATACAGACAAGTAGAAACAGAAGTATTGAACTAGATAAGCAAAAAGAGCAAAAAACTAAAACAATGGATTATAGAATTTTCTTTCTTCTTCTCAGCAGTTATTTAAAAGTTACTGGGGTTTTTTGTTGTTGTTGTTGTTTTCTATTTTTTCTTGTTTTAACCAATCTAAGCCATTCAGATTTTGCACATTAACACTCAAAACTTTTTCAAACTCTATTTATTAGTTGCTTGTCTTTTTCAAAGGTTTTTCCTTTTCCAAAAGGAATAAATCTTTTGGAAAATATTACATTTTGAACATTTTTGGTGCAAAATTTGCAGTAATATTCATTATTTTTTAGTTTATCAGAAGAGAGGAGAAGTGCATAATATCTTCTATTAACATTAGTATTTTCATATTAAGTTTGTGGCCACATTGTGATAAAATGCAGCAAAACGGGGTATAAACACATTTTTGCATGCCACTGTAGATTTCATTTGCATCTCGGCATTTAAGCAGCCAAACTCTGAGGTTTTGCTCTCAGTGGAGTTCAGAGCATTTTGTTTAATCTGGAGGAAAAACAGAAAAACCCAGATGGACGTAATGCTGCTCCAATAAACCAGATGACCGGTTCTGATCACCAGGACCTCCAGCTGCTTGTAAAAAAAATAAATAAAAGCCACAGCTGCTGACACTCCTTCAAGGTTTGGTGACGTCTCCATTGATCTTCTGTGATGATGTTTGTTACATCTGCACACACGGCCTGTTTGAACTGCAGAGCTCACACAGCTGCAGGGTTCTGGTGAGAGGAGCTGGTTCTGTCTGTGTGTAATGTTTAAGTGTCACAGAGTCGCCCTCTGGTGGTGACAGAGGGAATCCCTCTGACATGGATGGGTTTGGAACTGCTGCTGGATTCCATATTACTGCCCGTTTGGAACCTGATCGTAAGGGATTCCAGATAAGAAGTGTTAAATTGCTCGTGCAAAGAAGAAAAAGGAAAATTCTCCAAGACTGAATTCCTAATCTTTCTGTGGCAGAGTGGGATTAAAGGGGCAGTATGATGTAAAATAAACTTTTTTAAGCTTTGAGTCAAATTGTGTTACTCCCTCATCAACAACATAGCTGGAGTGTTGCCTTGATTCTTTCATGTATGTTTGAGAAATCTTCTGATCTCCCATAGCAACCATTCAGCTGTGCAAAACCGCCCGGGTGGACTTAACCCCGCCTTCGAGGCACAGCTCCTCCTCCTCCTCAGAGCTGCAGATTCCAAACTTCTGCAATTCAGTTCATTCAGACTAGCCAGCAGAAATTAGCAAACCCCTGGTGGAACTGGGCATCCCCAGAACCACAACCAAACATGGAGAGGCAGCATTCAGCTTCTATCCAACACAAATCTGGAACAAACTTCCAGAAAACTGCAGAACAGTCGAAACACTGACTTCCTTTAAATCTAGACTAAAACCCCACCTGTTTAGAATAGCCAATGATTAGTACAAATGTAACATTCACCAACATGATGTGTATTGGTGATTTTAACGGTGGCTCATGACAAAATGTGGGTTGTTGACGACTGCCTGATGTGTTTCTGATGATTTTAAAACTGTCTGGTTGCTGAAATGTGCCACACAAATAAACTTGATTGGAACCTGATTGAGGAAGACAGTCAGCAGTCCGGCTGCATTCATCCATCCCGCGCAGACATCTTTTCCCTTCACAATTTGTGGAAGACGCAGCAGATGAAAACAATTTGCGCCACTTTTTCTGGGCTAAACAGACAGACGCTCTCCTGCAGGGCATCCAGTTCTGCTGCCATAAAGTGGAGGTGCTCTGGAATTATTAGTCCATCCTGAGGCTCAAAATTGCCGTTATGGATTTCTTCCCCCATCAACCTGCACACAGTTAATGACAAAACACAAATCCTACAGAAGACAACAGAAACATGTGTCTGCGCTGTTCCACTTTTGTTTTCCCTGCTTCTGTTGCCATGAGAATTACACAGAGAATCAAATTACGGGTTCAGCTTCGTGAACGATTGATATAAAGCAACAAACAGCAAGCAGCAAGTGAAGCTATGTTTTATTCATGAAGTGGTTAGACAAACAATAAGATCTCAGCTGAGTCTGAGAACAGCAAACACGGTTGGAGGACTACTTTCTTTGTATTATTATTTGATCATTTGTATGATTTGTTTGCAGTGACTTGCAAAAGTATTCACACCCCTTCAGCATTTCCAATTTTCATTACAGTGTGGCTTAAAATATCCATTTTTGATTGGTCTAGTTTGATTTCCTAATGTTCAGAGACACTGAATTTTGGATTTCTGTTAAGATCTTTGGTTGTTTTGTAGTTTGATTTGATTCTAGTTTCATTATTTTGGGTTAGTTTATTATTTTCAGTCTTGTTCCTATTTTTCTTTATTTCAGTCCTTTCTTGGTAGTTATCAAAACCCCGGTGCCACTCTCGTTCTCTCTCCCTCTCCTCAGTTTGTCTTCTTCTCGCTCCCCTCACACCTGCAGTCAGTTAGCCAATCAGCCCAAGTCCACTGTCTCAGCTTTCAACCTCCCAGCACCTCTTTCTCAGTCACTCCTCGCTGGTTCCTTCCGTTATTTCCCCATGTCTCCTTGTTGGCTTTTTGTTATGTATTACTTTTGCGTTTTTTGTATGTTTGCTTTTTCATCTTTTTTTGTTTGTTTCTTTTTCATCTGACCTTCAAAATCATCTGGTGCCTCTACCTCTCTGCATTTGGGAAAGGTGACGCAACATGACATTTTCTTTACCTGTGAGCTGTAATCATCAAAACTGCAAAAGATTTTTTTTTAAAAAAAGGGTTGAAATATTTACTCTATAAAATGGCTGTTTCACTTTCTGAATGGCATGAAATATTACAAATATATTGCACATTATTATTATTAATATTACTGTACTCAGTATGGGGTGTAGGATAAGACGTACAACATTTTTTTATTTATTTCTGTATGTAGCTCAAAATAAAACAGTCAACTCAAACCTAATGGAATAAACTAGTTCCCATTATGGAATAACGGCCATTATCGTTATCCCATAATGGTCAGAGTTGTGGAGTCGAACACTGAGCTACTGTCCCACCTGAGCTGTGGGTCTCTGCAGCTCCTCCTCAGTTGCCATGGGGATAACGCAGAGCAGTTCAAAATACTCCTCATTTTGAACTTTTCTCCGAGACACATTGAAAGCTTGAGGTATTGTTTTAAGACCTACTTATATGTCCTTCATATAAGCAAGTGGCTCTACTGGATTGAATTGAAAAGATTTGATTTTATTTAGTAAACATTTAAAAACAAAAATAGAAACATGTATGACTTCTTCCACTTTACAAATATGAGAAAGGGTTGGTAGTTTGAACACTTGCAAAAGCTGTAAAGCATATTGGCAGCAGTAGAGCAAAACTTTTCTCAGCAAATCTCATTATGCTTCATAAAGTTTCGATAAGCGAGTCTGGTTCCGTGTCGGACCTCTCTTCCCTCCTTCTCGCTCTATAAATGGGACACTTTCATCTGCGCCGACGTCTTTCTCTCCCTCCAAACCATGACAAACAGATGCATTAGCTCCCTAATTGGTGAACTTTCAAATGAGATGCCTCACGGGCAACCGGGGTTGCCTCCTAGAAATAAAAGCCTCGGCCAATTTGCACTGGAGGTAATTGAATGGCCTGCAGTGAGGGAGAAGAGCGGACGTGCCACGCATCGCGGCCCAATCAGCTTCTCTCTGAGCCGAGCATGAAAAGCCATTTTCCAGCTCTGAATGTGGAGGGTTTGCTCTCTTATTCATGCAGATTCCACTTAGTGCGGCTTTTCCCATCCTCCCTGACTCTGGTTTCTCCTGGGCCGGTTGATTGCTGTTGAATGAGATTTGTGTTGAGGAGCTCCGCATTCCTGATAAATCATTCCTTTGTGTGGGAATCCTGGAAATAGTTACTGTAGAATGGGGTCAGAGGTGGCATTGCGCATCTATCTCGTGTCTGTTTTTCACAGCACTTTTTTGGGGGGCTGAAACTTTTCAAGGACCAGAACAACGTATGAAATCATTTTAGCTCAGCTAAGAGAAGTAAATAAAACGATGAAGTCAGGCAGTCAGCCAAGATGCCTAGAGCTTGTGTGAAGAGCTAAATGTCGCTGACATGACTGTGAGTTAGTGTCAGTGTAGATAGAAAAGTAGAACAAAGTGTAAATTTCCGCCAGAAAACTTTTGAGATTGTCATAAATTTTCTAGAAAAAAAATGCAGAAAGTCAAACAAATTCAAATTTTGAAAATTTTCTGTTTAAAAAATTAAACATTTTTGACAACCTTCGCCATTTCCAACTTTTTTCCACAAAAATTCTGAGATTCATTTTAAAAAATTTTACGGAAATTTACTCCTTCTCCTTTTTCTTTTTTTCTATGTCCAATGGCCCTAATTCACTGCTGTACTGACACAATTAAACAACTTGCATGACTTACAATATTAACTACTATCTTTTCATTCTGTGTACACAAAAGCTTTAAATCATATTTCTCACAGAATACTATAAATTCTATACCGAATTGCAGCGTGTCGCGGTTTGTCGCCTGTAGTAACGGGGTCATACGCCGGCGCCATCTTGTGACGTAAAAAAGGTTAGTCAAAATTTTAACAACTAATGCTGAGTACATAACAGCGGAGGTCGTTTTGAGGGATTTATGTGCAGTTTTGGAGGAAGGAGGCAGATGGTAGTGATGAAGAAGAGGGAGCTGGTTCAAGTGAAGTACGGCAGCCATGTTTTTGGAGCCATATTGTTCAGGAAGCAAAGATGACTCCAACTTTACTGGGGAAGACAGGACAGTGAATGTTTGGAGCTGGAAATCTGTCGCCTCCGAATCACTGAATGGTAACAAACAGATTTATAATAATTATTCATCTTTAATTTTCGTTTAATTCAAATAATCCCGTCACTTTAATGAGTGTTCAAAGGACATAAACCTTACAGGAACGCATGTTTGGATTTTATTCATATTGCCTGTGTCTGAAAAATGCACTGAGACAGCAGTCACACGTCATGATACCTGCACGTGCAAATTGAATGCGGGGAGGTGGGAAAAGTGGCTCAGCCCGACGCCGGGCGTTCCTATCGCCCACCACTGTGACTTTAATACGGCTATATCTATTCATGCTGCATGGTAATGAATTTATACTGATGCACTGAAATGACATTTTTCTGTATATTCGCATGTTATTGGAATACTGGAGATATTTTTGACATAATGAAGGACAATTTGTGCTTGTCTAAGGTTTTCTACTGTCAAAAAAAAAAAAAAAACCTGACGGAGGCTTTGACTTTATTTTTCCACATTATAGCACAACAGTGAAATCCATAGACAATTTTACAAAATATGTAAACGTCAACATTGTTTTTTTTCTCACTTTTATTCACTAGACAATAAATATCACACTTGTTGTAAATGGTGCCTATAACATCTTCTGATTTTAGTTAGCTACCTGTGGTGGAAAATGTTAACAGGTGATATGTCATTAGTTTATTAAACTGATGCTCATGTCATTATTATCTGATAATACATTTCACCACAATCCCCGGTTCATAGGTTTTTTGTTTTTGCAGCAGTCTCCTCCACAGAACGGCTACTGCTTCAGCCTTTTTATTTTTGTCAGAAACTTTTCTATTCCGTGCTAACTAAGCTAGCTTGAAGAGCAAAGCAGCTTGATAAAACTGGCAACCAATCAGAAAGATGGGCATGGCAAATAGCGTTTCAATATTATTTTAATTCAGATTTCATAACGATTAAAAACAGGTTACGTTTTACATAAATATATAAAATCAAGTGAAAAATGTATGGAATTCAATTATTTTTTATTTGTGTGTTTTTGTCATCTTCCCTCCAACTTTCTGAGAGGCCCGTCTAGCGCCCCCAGGTGGCCCCCACTTTGAAAACACTGATAAACACTAAAACACTAATAATTAGCACTTTTCGTATACGTTTTATCTTTTATCAAGTTTGGGGTTTACTTTATTCTAAGGTTTCTCTTCCTTCTCATCCTATTGTTTTCCATTTTGGGATAAAAAGAAGATCTCACTGCCTGTAAAGCTTTCCATCAGATTCCAGAATCGTTCATAAGATCTTCCTAAAAGCACAGACACAAATAGTTGTTTTGGGGGTTTTTTCCAGAGTATGCGTTATTTAGGTCAAGACACATTTTCGGCAAAGTGTTTCTTACCACAATACAAGTGTAAACAAAACAATGCTACATGTATTTCTGGTTCATGTGGAACATCCTATCATCGGAAGGCCCCCTCATCAGGGTCTTTGTTCTATCTGTCTGCATCTGTTTTGGCATCAAAACATAGAGACGCCAAACATACCCTACTCTTATTTATTTTTAGTCCCGTTCTCAAATGGGAATGAGAGCGATTACACTTCCAAGATTGACAATTTTACGCCGGCAAATTAAAAGAACCCTCTGAATTAGGGAGATAATTGCATGCAATCTCCCTTTAATGGCCCTGTCAGTGATTACTGACTGCCTCGGCCGGCCCTATCAGTGGCAGGGGAGGGGAGCGTGCTGAAATGAAATGTCAATCATATTAGCATTAATGAGTAAATTAGCGCGAGTGGCTCATTGTCAGAGCGAATCAGTGCTGACGTGCCACCCTCCAAACCGCTCAGTTAAAGCGGCGCTGCGAGGACGGAAAGATGAGCGAGGAGGGCAAAAAATCTCAGTGAGGGATAAAGGAGGAGGAACGGGGACAAAGAAATTACATGTGGCCACATGAGGCTGACAGCTTATGAGATGTACAATTACCGTCTTCAACCAGTGAGGCAGATTTGTGTGGCAAAAAAGCAGGCGACGGCAATTTCTCTTCATTTTCCCTGTTTTTTTTGTTTTTTGCCAGCCTGGGATTCACTGCAGCATTACTGATGTTAAAGACATGAACAAGGCTTGGCATGTGCTTCCCCAATATTTAATTAGGATTAGTCTCTTTGCTTTAGTCATTGAGCATTTTTCAAACACTCGTCTTACTTTATGATCAATGTGGAAACAATTAAGAGACCACTCCATGGGACTGCGTCCAGTAAATCTGTTATCAGTCTTTCACAAACTCTTTAAGTCAATATTCTGTTCTATTGTTTCATATTCCTGTTAGTTCAGCCTAGTCAATGCTTAAGCCAGTGTCTAGTAGATTCAACAGAATTGGCAGTACTGGCTTGCTGCTGCTCTGCTATGTAGGACGAGACGCCTCCATAGATACAGTCAGTGTGTTCCCTCCTGCTGCAGTCGGCCATTGGTCCCTCATGTTTTTAGTGAGGGAGTAAAGATCATAACCACTAGAGTGATACAGTTGACTGCGATGTTGCTTTGCATTAAGAAGGTCCTGCATTGGAATTCTTGCCTGGGATCTCTGGATGGAATCTGGATGTTCTGACAATCCATGCTTAGGTTACACACCTGAATGTGTAACCTAAGCATGACTTGAGTTGTCCTTACAGTGCTCTGAGTGTTGGCATGCATGGTTGATTGTCCTGTGTATCTTTTGTGTTGCCCTGGCCACATAGTCCCAGTAGCCACTGGTGATGGGCACCAGCCCCCATAGAGATAAACTGGTTTAGACCAAGTATGGACTGCAATTTTGCATAAGCAGGTCCTGGGTTTAAAGCCCAGCCAGGAGCCTTTCTGCATGGAGTCCCTATGAATGGTTCTGTTTCTTGTGTGTCTCTGTATTACCTTGTGATAGATTAGCAACGTGAGATGGCTGACCCCTTCCCTTTCGTCCATTGACCACTTAAGATGGACCATAGCATGAGACCATTAGACGAGGATGGATGGCCACAGGAGGACCACAGGTATCAGCATGGTATGGACAGTTTGAACATATGTCATGTTTGGACTGGTATTGTCCATTCTTGCCCTACAAGAGAAGACTCCTTCCCCAGTCCTCAACCTACCCAGCAGGTTTTAGATGCCTCCCTACTCCAACACAATGAAATGACTGGATTTCCTCTTCAGCATGCCATCAAGTTTGGCAAAGACCTGGTAAGTTTTCCTGGTACAGAAAAACTGTTTATCCACCGTCATCGGTGGCTATGTTAGCTACTCAGTTGTTAGCATGGGCTACCTGTTGCGTAGCAGTGAGCAATAGGGAGGCTGTGAGCAGAGCATTCATGAGCAGGATTGAAAGCACTAAGACCCGCCTCCTGGGCCTGATTGGTTGTTTCTGACTAGGAGACGTGTATTTCTGCAGGTGGCAGCAGGACTACAGGGAGAAGTCCTACTGTAGATTCAGAGAGTGCGTTTCATACACTCTCTGAATCTTGGTTTCATACACTCTCTGAATCTTGTACTGTTCTGATAGTTTTAATAAATATGTAAAAACATATTATTTCTAAACGTTGCGTACTATAGCTTTAATATAGCTTATTCAACCTTTTTTGTTAATTTCACCCACACATGCCAGGTTTCTCAAAATGAATATGAAACTATAGTAGGGACAAAATGGCTTATTCTTATATATAATAGGATTTAAAAATGCCTCATTTGAGTAACTTGTTGAAGAGAACCTGTCCTGAAGAACAAAATGCCAGAGGTCCCTTCACTCCTGTCTACCAGACTTTAGTCTTTACTGAGCTTGTCCCACTCCTCACTTTCAGTTTTAAGACATTTGAGATCTTTCTTGCATCCCCGGCATCCACAACATCTTAATGAGCTCAGCATATGGGCTTTGAACCTAGTAGCTTTCTCCATTCTCTGTGAAGTTCTTGGTGGATTAACAGGCATGTCTGGAGTCATTATCATGTTGCAGTCCAGATTTCACAGATACTCTCACATTTTCCTCAAGCAACCTCTGATCAATGGATCAGTCATCCTGAAATGAAGCATTCACAAATATTTGATCACACTGATGTTAAATGTATGGGGGTGCCACTTTAGACCAGGCTGTACATGTGAAACATTTTGCCCCTCATTGATTAAAATTACAATACATGCTGAAACCTTTGATTTTTTTTATGGGGTATTTTTGGAACTGTTGACCTAATCTTAACACACTTCTGTCTAATCAGTGGAGTTTTAAACCTTCCTCATACACATTTACTCCGCTCTGCGCCCACAATTTTCCCACAGCCCCCCTGTGAACTGAGCGTAAATCAAAAAGAAATTCCTCCAGTTCAACAATTCATCTGACCACAGCCTTGTTAGGCAGGAGGACGGAGGAGAGGGAAGCGTGTGTCAATAAATCATCTGATGCCTGGCTGTATTTATGCCCACAGCAATGAGTTTAACGAGGAGAGCAGTCCTTGAAGCAATATCCTAAGTGGCACTTCATCCCTGTCTCCTTCCCCAGCACCCGCCTCCCTGTATCTCACCTCCTCATCCTTCACAAGGTTTCTGATTGTCAAGTGGCAGAGGATGCTTCAGTTTAAGCGTGCAGACTTGAGAGCGAGAGGACGGGGGGAAAAAAAGGCAGCCCTGAATCACCCGCCACCGTCTGCGAGCTAAAAATTACCCTGTGAGACAGAGGTTTGGAGAACTTCATTTCCTTGTTCATAATTAAACTCCTCAACCTTAATCTGACCGTACCTTTCTCCTGCTGGGGGCTTCCTGCAGTGCTTATTGAGCCCTACTTATTACGTGGATTAGAATCTATCTTCCACTTCAACAGTGGGTCACCCTATTCAATTATTTCAGCCATTCATGGCCGACTAGATGATGAAAGATCCTTGAGATTCTGGTTCGTTCCCAACGCAGACGGTTCATGGGAGGTGACTGGATTTTCTGAGAGACAGTATCTGCCGGGTGCGACATTACTGGAGGCGTGCTGGGATGAAAAGAGTAGCCATAAAAAAGTGAGGCGTTTCAAAGGAGTTCTCATCTGTCCTGCACTGTGCTCTGCGCACCACTGGGAGGCAGTCCTGAGCCACCGCTCCTCTCCTCTGCTTCCTTTCCCCACACTCAGCCACCCACTGCTGCTCTGAGGGTGCTGTTTGTTCTGTTTTCTCCTCACTCAGTCCTCACACTGAGATACAGAGCTTCTTCTTGTCTTGCTGTCAAAACAGAAAAAGATCTGAGTGAAATATTTAAAGAATAAAACAATAACTGTATACCCTTCTTCTGACTCGTTTTTTTCCCTCTCTTTTTTGCCAGTTGGTCTTCCAGAGATTTATATCCCCGAACAAAACTGAATCCGTTTGTTTATTTTCATTATTTTTGTAAAGTGTGTCACATGCAACAAACTGAAATACTCAGATAATAGTCTTAAAACCTCTAACATTCTCACAAGTTCTTTGTGTTCTCCGTGAATGTCCTGAGTTTTGCTCCCTCCATCTTCTAAGTAATGTCTCTGGAAGAAAAAAAAAGCATCCAGCATGATGCTGCCACCACCAAGTCTGGGACAGTGCTGGGTCTCTGTCACACATGGTGCTTCATTTTTATGATTGTGTTTAGAGGAGAGACCAGAAGAAATCATCAATGAATTATGTCACTTAAGTTACAAAAAGAGTTACTGTGCTACTGTGGAACAATGATCCGGGTTTCTTTATCCTAACTTTGCTCCCTGACTAGCTTTAGCATCCATGACGGTGTATTTCTGCAGATGGCGGTAGGACAGGACAGGAGAAGCAAACCCAGCTTTCCACCAACCACAGGACTCCATTTCTGAATTCAACTCAATTCAAGTGAAGGATTCCCTGTAGCGGTCAGTGTTACAGCAACTCTGAAGAAGCTTCTGACAGAAGATGCTCTAACAGCAAGTTTAGGGTGGTCCAAAACGTTCTGACATGCTGAAGCGTCTACTGAAAGGTAAAGCCGTTATCAGCCTCATGATCTGCACTTCAGATCAGAAAAAAGAGCAGAGAATTTATCACCTCCTTTCACCCCACGTGACATAAAGAGAGAGTCTGCAACTGACACCTGGACTGTATCTGTAGATCAGTCAGGGTCAGACCTAGTAGCTTAGCATCAGGTTCAGGAAAGCATGAGAAGAAGCAAAAGCAACGCCACAAACTCCTTTGTCCTCTCAGACCGAGTCCAGGAGTGTGCCCAGTGGAGAACAGGATGCCACACACAAAATAAATCCCCTATGCTTGGGGTCGCCATGGTGAACCTGACCCCTCCACTTCCCTCTCTGGGTATTGTGTGGGCATGTGCATTATAGGGTAAAACAATCTACATTAACAGACATGACTCAAAGAGTATGAAGCCTGGAGAAGAGCTTATAAGAGGTGGGCAGGAGATCAAGAGGAACGGGTGAAAGGTCACAGACAGGCAGGAAGAAGCCTCACCTGGATCTGTCTCTAAGTCCAGTTCCTTGCAAAATTATTCTGATCAGACCAACACAAAGTGCTTCACAGTTGTGAAACAGAAGAGAACGAGGGGGAGAGAACCTAGAAACTGTACTTGAATTAGACCAGCACTACTTCAACATGTTTTCACCAAAGTAAAAGCAAAAAGCTGCAGTCCAAGAAATTACTCAAGTAAGAGTAAAAAAGTATTTGGTAAAAAGTCTACTCATTACTGAGTAACTGATCAAATTATTAATCATTTAATATTTAAAAATAACATCATCAGCTATATGGAAATGTTGGTATTTTAAAGGCCGAAAGGGAAATGTAACTTTTATAAATAAAATGATGATAAAAGAAATAAGATGAGGCAAAATAAATATTTTTCAAAAAATCAGTTTCTGTCAATATAAATCTTGTGAAACTTTAACAAAAACTGTAAATGAGTGTCTGTGGTGAATTTTTGATTAAAACAAGCTTGTTCTTTATTAATTGAAGTTACTGAAGGAGAGAATCCAGAAAATCTACCCCAGTAAAAGTAGTGAAGTTGCCTTAGAATACAGATGTAACAGATTTAACCTTTAAAAAATAATTGTTTCTGCAATATTTACACCAAATTTTGACAAAGAATGACACTAATAGTAACAGAAATATGCTTTTTTTATCTGCTTTCCTTCGTATTAGGTTGGAATCTATAATGAGTAAAAAAAAGAATTCCATCCTCTTTTATTATATTTTTTTTAATTTTTATTAAAAACTCAAAAATTTTTGGTTTTTTTTTTTTTTTTGGGGGGGGGGGGGGGGGGTTAAGTCAAGAAACTTCCTATTGTGGCTCTAAATGAGCTTCATTTTTCTGGCCTGAGAACAAAATGTCTCTTTAGGTTGTAAAGATCTAAATATGCATCTGGAGCTAAAATAGGATCATTTAGATATGTGTGTTAGTGACTCAGAATTAAATATAACTGAAATACTGACCGTTCAGGCTCACTGAGCTTGAGTTATTTTGCAATGAATGGCCAACGTCATAAAAACATGTAATTTTCCTTCCATTTCACATTTATGTTCTGACCTTTCTGTTTGTAAGATGACAAAATGTGGAAAAGTTTAAAGGGGCAGTGTTATGTGTTTTTCAGGCACTTAGTGCTATTTTAAAGCATAATGAAGTAAGTACATTAACTTCAGTTGCTAGAAATCTGCTATATATGTCAAATAGGACTTAAGATAAGTTTTGCTATTAACTTATTGCCTTGAAATTGGGCCTCTGTCACTTTAAAAACTCCTGCTCTTTCTGAAACTCCACCTTCAGGAAGTCATCACAAAATGGCTCCTCTGTTGACCTTTTAACCACATTTCTACTAGCTTTTCACTGAGAAGTATGTCGTGTATAAATGCTCGCAGTTCCTCCAGGTGTTTGCTAATTGCTGCTGGCTAGTCTGAAGGAGCTAGTCTGAGCAGAAGCTCGGAAACATGCAAACTGCAGCTGAGGAGGAGGAGCTGCATCACGAAGGCGGAACTATGTCCCATGACAACAGATGAATCTGAAAGATTTCTCAAACATGCATGAATGAATCAAAGCGACACTCCAGGTATGATTATGATGAGGGATTACATTATAATATGAAATAAAGCTGAAAAAAAAGTAAAATTTTTTGTAACACTGCCCCTTTAAAAGGTGTAAATACTTTTGCAAGGCAGTGTATGTGGTCAGAAACTATTGTGCAGCATCCCAGACAAAGGGGATTAGGATGTCATGACCTGCTTTACACTCAACACAAACAGTTTAGCTGTTGTCTCGTCTCCGACTGACAGGACAGTTTTCCTATGCTAGTTAGTCCAAGTGTAGCAATAGGAACCTCAAATCCTCTTGAAGCATATTTGCCTTCAGTCACTCTGCTTACTTAGTTGTTCTTTTGTTCAAACTGATTTAAAAAAAAAAAAAAAAACTAATTCCCGGGTTAGGCCGTGTGTCAAATGAATTCAGTTTTTCCGGGCCGGGGGAACAGATGGCTGGTTTCATTCAGGACTTGGTAAAGTTCTGTTGCCAGGCAATGCTCCGGCCTAACCAAATCAGCGCTCATAAAGCGTTACTTAGGGGCGGCGGAATCTGGTTTTGTGTGCATTCTGACCAGTTGCTGACACACTGGTCATTAGGTTCCAACATGTTGACGCTGGATAAGTTGTGGGTTTGAGATGCACAACTGATGAGATCCAAGCATCCAGGAAGGAATGAGGTCAGTCACATGGAATCTTATGTGATAGTCCACCAGTTAGTAGTGCATACTCGTGAGAAACTGAAAAGTGTGGTGTGATGTTTGCCCAGTGGGGTGGGGCAGTAGGAGGAGGCAGAGTGTACGGCTTTATTATTTATTTGACATTATGTTTTGAATTCCTAATTCCACTTTCTGAACCATTTGAAAGAAGGTTTTAATAATAAACTAAACTTAACGCACTGTTCAATAAGTCGAATCATTTGGAATGTGTTCTTTGGGGAACAGCTTCTAATTGGTTGGATTGAGAACATTTGGACAGCAGATTTCCTGCCAGCGATTTTTAGTTGGATCTAGGTCTGGACTTTGACTGGGCCTGTCAAACACATGTTCACATTGATACAAACTATTTTCATTAGAGAAATGTACCACTCATAGTAGCAGCAGGTTCAGGAAGTCATCACAACATGGCTCCTCCATTAACCCTAGCTCCTATAATATTTGCAGTTCTACCAGGTGTTTGCTAATTGCTAATTGCTAGTCTGAAGGAGCTGAGTGGAGGAGTGCTACTCTGTGAGTCAGAAGCTCGGAAATTGCAGCTCAGAGGAGGAGATATGTCCTTGAAGGCGGGGCTAGTTACAACCATCCGTTTTGCACAGCTGAATGGTTGCCATGACAGATTTCAGGATTTCTCAAACATACATAAAAAATCAAGGCAACACTCCTGGTACATTAACATAATTTAAAGCTCAAAAAAGTTGATTTTTCATTATACTGCCCCTTTAACAAATCTGGACATATCCTGAACAAAGATGCCAAAGAGTTATCAAAGATAAGATATTAACTGCTTATAACCTTATTTAAAAAAAATGGTTGGTCAAAAAAAATCTCAAATACAAATTTAATTCAATCTTAAACTACCCATTTAAACTATTAAAATAACCTAATTCGTTAACAATGTATGTGATTCAGAATATACAAATAAGTATCTTGTTCAATGAGATGCATGTGAGCGGTTATTGTCTACAAATATTATTGCATTCTTCTTCTTCTCTAACAGTGTGATGCGCGCTCTGTAACAGAATAATGTGGGTGCTGCGGGCCTGCTTGTTTTATAGGGCTTTTCCTCTCTGTTCCCCGGCTGTGTCTGTCTCTCTCGCTCGTTGAGTCAAGGCGGGAGTTTACAGGAACAGCAGGCAGGCAGAGCCTCGTCACACCGCGGAACAACACAGGAATGTATTGTATGCGTTGCAAAGACAGGACAGCTGGGACGAAATAGTGCGTCAAGTTCCCCGAGTCTGACATGAGGCTATTTAAAATCATCTTCTTAACAGTGTCGTCAACAGAACTTAAAAAATAATTACGGTGGGGTTTTTTGGCTGTTTTCGACACTGCGATGGAAACTTCGTTGCTTCGTGCTGTAAAACAACAGTCACATACACTCTCACACAAGTGAACCGCGGAAGGATCCTGAAGGTTGCCAGTGAGTGCTGCGGAGCTGAAAGCACACAGTAAATTGAGGCTTTGGCTGCGTGGAAAACGCGGACTGGAGTTTGATTCTAATCTGAAGCAAAAACACATTTTATAAGTAGGAAA